ACAGCTACCAATGATCTGTTTTATGATTGCAATATAGACTAAGGTGACGGAGAAGTTTAAAAGTGGAAGTTAGCTGAGTGGGCAGGTGTGCTCGCACAATTGGTAACAGGTTGCCTCCTTGCTATAGAAGTACAAGTTCCTTTTCTTTCACTTACTCTCTTGCTCTCCCTTCTATCACTGCCCCCTCCTATGGGTGAATGCCTGATACGTGCAGATATCTTATGGGTCTTTAAAACATGGGAGAAAAGGTACCCAAGAAGTAGAGGTTTCTACTCACAGGCTCAAAATTAGTGCACCCCACACACACAAAATGTCAAATCAGAATCCATCTCCTTGACCATACAGTCTCATATCCTCTGTACAAACAAGCCCAAGGTATCCTGAGTGCTGACTCAACACACAGAGCTTCATGTGGCCCTGATTGGGCCCAAGATGTGAGACTGGCTCCCCTCCACTGCTTGGCTCTCTTGACTTACTTCACTCTGGCATTTTTCTGCTTCTACGAGGCCTATGACTGTGTGCTGTCCTGATGGGGGAAGATGAGCTTGACCTGTCTGCGCTGCTCCCCAGCAACTGGGAAGTCCAGGCAGGCAGAAGTGCTGGGCTGCGGTTGAGCCCTCAGACATGACTTCTGGGTAGGAGTTCAGTGGATGGGTGATACAGGATCCACGATGGCTGCTCGGGAACCAGAGCTTTGAGGAAGTCGAAACTGTGAATCAGGGGATGCAACCGTCCGGCAGCCAGGGGTGTGCAATCACCCGGAATGTGAAGCAACAAGCACAGATGTCATGAAAAAGTCAAAGTTAGGCAAACCCTAATGGGTTCCTGAATTCGTCACAGCAAACAGCATCCTTCTGAGATCTGCAAAGGACAAGGATCAGGAATAAGACAGTTGCCATCGGAAAAATGAAAGGCTGTGAATTCTAGAGCCAGCAGTGCATTTCCAATTTCAGTGCATTTTGCAGGTCCTGGAGATGAGCAGCCACCTGCAACCACATGCTTTCAAGACAAAGCTGCCTGCTGTTCCGGTAGGTCACTTGTTTGATTATTTCAGTTGCAAGGCACTCACACAATTACTCTCCAGTATACTGCAAGTATATTGCAAGTACACCCAACAAAGGGGTAAGTCACCTGCATGAAGTCTTCAGTGATGCGATCCCAGGGGCTGAGGACAGGAGCCGCAAACTCAGTGCTTAAAAGGACCAGGCAGAAAACTCCATGAACTGCACCAGGCATGCGTGAGAAAAAGTTATATTGCCCTCTCTGGTCCTCTTATTTTTCCAATTTTAGGACAGAATCATGGTAGGTGGCTTTTGGCTACAAAGAAGAAAACACCCCAACACAGTGGCTGAAGCAATGCATGTTTACTATCTCTTATTACCCAGCTGTTCCCAGAGTCTTCACAGTGCTTCCACTGAGTTGGTTTCATCCTTCCCGGCTCATCGCACAGACAGTTGTCCAACACCTGCCAAGAGCTATTAGGGCCACAGGCCTCCTAGTTCATGTCCACCCTGGAAGCAGCATCCCTTGCCGTAATGGAGCAGCAATACTTGTCACAGTCCAACCAGGCATGTCATGTGTCTAATGACAGGCTACAATGCAAGCAAGGAAATACTTGTCCTGAGTGGTCAGAGCCTGGGTTCTGAACCAGTCATGATAAAGGCACAGGGCTGAGCACTGCTATTGACCAATCAGACCAGGGGCAAAGGTGAGTTTCTTCTGAGTTACAGGACTAGCTGGTGGAAGGGGTAGTGAGGAGGATAGAATAAATACCTGAATGGAATCTGGATTCTGTCTGGAGGAAGAAAGTAGATGTTGATAAGTAATAAGTAATCAGTCACATCCATTACACAACAGCTGCTATGTTGGCCACTGTGGTCACTACTAGTCACATGAACCCAGACAGTGAAGCATGGCCAGTGTGACAGAGGAAGATAATTTTTCATTTTATTTAATTTCAACTAATTTAAGTTTAGGTAGCCACGTGAGCCTAGTGGCTAATGCATTGGACTGTGCAGATATGGAAAATAATTCCTCACAGTGGCTGAGACCTGGTGTCAATGGACTGTGGTCAAAGGAGAAGGCAGGTGCATTCCATCTTCTGTTGCAAAAGCTCCCAGACCGTGGTGGTTAAATGACAATCGTTTTGTTCATAGTTCTGCACTCTGAGTTGAGGCTTCCTGGGGAGATATCTATATGGCTGCATACACCTGGCAGTCAGCTGGGATACTGGGACAAAGACCTCCTCCCAGTTGCTGTGGATCTCCTTCAACGTGGGACCTCTCGAGCAAGCCAGCTGACTTCTAGCACAGTGGCTCAGGGCACAAGACCCAAGAGAGGAGCCTGCCAGACCTCCTCAAGGCTTAGGCTCCTACCTGTCTAGGACTCTTCTGTGGCATTCTGTTGGTCAAAGCAGATCACAGTACAGCCATGTGGCACTGTGACCTGGAGGGACCATCTGAAGACTTGAATGCCATGAGACATAGTTTCCAGAGGTCAGGGTGGGGGCACTAGAGTAACAGGTAACCACAAGCCCCAGTGCTGCCTCAACTCCCATAAGGGCAACAGAATATCCAAATTTATATGTGAAATCTCTCCATTAACTTTTAGTTCACTTTCTTTGGTAACAGCTTCATTGAGACAAGATTCATGTATCACACAATTTGTCCTTAACGGCTCTTAGTCTAGATTGTGCTACCATCACCACAATCAATCTTAGAACATTTTCATCACCCTAAAGAAAACCCATGCTCTTTATCGATCACTCCTCAACCTTACCGCCCACCAATGTGCCAACCATAGCACTAATCTGCATTTCATTTCTATATATATTTGCCTGTTCCACACATTTCATATAAATGGGATCTTGAAGCTGGGCGTGGTGGCAGATGGGGAGGCTGAGGTAGGAGGATTGGAAGTTCAGTCAGACTCAGCAACATTGCAAAGCCTTAAGCAACTTAACGAGAATCTGTCTCTAAATAAAATACACTTTTTTTTTTTTTTTAAATAAAGGGCTAGGGATGTAGTACAGTGGCTAAGTGCCCCTGGGTTCATTCCCTGGTACCAAAAATAAATAAATAGGATCTTGCAGTATATCTTCTTTGCTCATCCTGCCCCCCACCCCTGCCCAAATATTGCAACCAAACCAAAACATTTTTACATGCTGGATTCATTTTGCAATCTCAAGGTACCAAATACAGGACCCTAGGACACTGCTCACAATGCCTCAGTATACATTGAACCTGGAGACTGCTCCCCACCATTTTTTTCTTAGTGTTATATTTCTAGAATGAATAACCCAACCAGGTTATCTGCTACCATCCAAAATGTACGTCTTTAACTGGGTAATGATTAAATCAGATTACTTCACTTTTATTCCATGTTTAACGTTAACTCCGTTCTCTACTTTGTTTGAGCATGTAAGGACTATCAGACTGAGAACAAATCCTCAAAGATTCTGCCCATCTACTAGTTGGAACTTGGAAGAAGTACTGGGACTAAGAATTGGTTAAAAATAAGCCTTTTCTTTAAGCCAGAGTTCCTTTACCTACTAAATATGTGACCCTGGAGAGAAATCTTGAGGGTTTTGTTTTTCCAATAGCGGCCTTGGGTACTAATGTGAACATAAGGTGTTCATTCAGCTTTTGCAATTCAAAACGTTATCATTCAGTTAACTCCAAACACATTTATTATTGGCAGGTGCTACAAACTCCAGGAATGACAACAAATCCACCAAAGATCCCAATCCACCCAGTTTCAAAAACAGACCTAAGTGGTTTCATAAAATAAATAAATACTTATGAGTTATAAAAAAGTACAGGAAGCCCAAACGACAAAAAGTTGATGTAGTCTGGAGAGTTGGATAAATGACATTTGAGCTGACTGCTGAAAAACAAATTAGTATTAACAGTTGGAAAAGGCTCAGTTCTGGGGGCTGGGGATGTAACTCAGTTGGCAAAGTGCTTTCCTTGCATGCATAAGGCCCTAGGTTCAATTCCCACCACCACAAAAAAAAAAAAAAAAAAAAGGTTCAGTCATGCATTGCCTGCTGTTTGCCAGCACCTGGCATCAGTCTACATGTTTGACATTAAAATAATTAAAATAACTAATAACTAAAGACAATGCATGCTACCTAAATGGCAGGATTACCTATCCCTGATGACTACTGCGGAGCCCATTTCCAGGTAATGGCTCCATCCTAGCCTTCCTGGAAGTAAGGATTAAGGATGGGGAAGTGGTCTTACCCACACCATTTGAAGCACTGCAGCTCTGGGTCCCAATTACCAAGCCATGCTTGGGGCTGCTTTTAAAGGACACGCTGCCACTCCACCAGGTGCTACTTTCCTAGGTGCGGGGGTCTGGGGACAGGAGCAAGACAGCCAAGATCTCTGCCGCCTGGACCTATGGGAAACACGTGCAGCCTAGGGAGACCAACCAACCAACCATGCTGCAGATTCTACAGGGAAAGGGTGATGGGATGGGATGGGCTGTGGCGAGCTTCTCGGGAACGACCGCTCGGGAAGAGTGAGAACGTGACAGGGGTGGTCTGGGGCAGTGACAGGGTGGTCTGGGGAAATCTCCGGTAAGACCTGAAACAGGTGGAGCGGTGGCTCTCCGTGGGGTAAGTAGCCGCTGAGGGGTGCGGGGGCGACGTCGGGGTCGTCTTAGGCTGCACAGCCTGGGGCGGCGGGGTGAAGCTGACATCAGGCGCATGGCGAGGCCAGGGAGCGCCCGGAGAACGCGGCCAACCGCGGTTCCCCGCCGCCCCGCGAGAGTCCTCCAGGCGGTGGCATCAAGCGCGCCAGGGAAGCCTGACCCGCTCTCCGCAAGCCCCAGCCGGCCGGCCCGACACTTCGGCGCACGCTCCGCAGCCCGCCTCCGCGACTTCCGGGGCGGGACCGGAAGCGATCCCGCCCAATGGGGCGGTGCGACCCGGCGGTCTAGCACGGGGGTGGCGCGGGGCCTTTCGGGAGCGGCCGGCGGCCGGAGCGGCGCGACGCATGGAGGGCGCCGGCGAGCGGGCGCCGCTGCTGGGCGCGCGGCGGGCGGCGGCTGGGGCGTTCGCGGGCCGGCGCGCGGCATGCGGGGCCGTGCTGCTGACCGAGCTGCTGGAGCGCGCCGCCTTCTACGGCGTCACGTCCAACCTGGTGCTGTTCCTGAACGGCGCGCCCTTCGGCTGGGAGGGCGCTCAGGCCAGCCAGGCGCTGCTGCTCTTCATGGGCCTCACCTACCTGGGCTCGCCCTTCGGCGGCTGGCTGGCCGACGCGCGGCTCGGCCGGGCGCGCGCCATCCTGCTCAGCCTGGCGCTCTACCTGCTGGGCATGCTGGCCTTCCCGCTGCTGGCCGCGCCTGCCGCGCGCGCCGCGCTCTGCGGGACCCCGCGCCCGACGCGGGTGCTCAACTGCTCGGCGCTGCCGGCCAATGGCAGCGACGCCTGCCCGGACGCCGCCACCCGCCGCTGCGCGCCCGCCACCTTCGCGGGGCTGGTACTCGTGGGCCTGGGTGTGGCCACCGTCAAGGCCAACATCACGCCCTTTGGCGCGGACCAGGTGAGCGCGCCGCGTCCCTGCACCTGCGTTCCGGTGCTGGCGGAGCCCGAGAGTCGGTGGCCGTGCACTCCCCGCCTGGCCGTGCACCTGGCGCGGACGGGACGGGACCCAGCGGCCAGGCGGGGGAGTCCTCTGCCTTGGAGAAGAGAGCCCGAAAGCAGAGAGCCGTGGCCCACCCCACTGCCTCACCTACCCAGCATCTACCCCTGCCCCTGCCCCGTGCGGAAGGGACTGTAGGAACAGGGGAGCTTCTTCTAGTCTAAGGAGGATCAAGGAGAAAGCAGTATAGACAGGTGTGGTGGGTGCTTGGAAGGCTGGTTGGGATCCATGCATAAAGTGATGGCCAGAGTAGTCTAAAAGAGAAGGGACTTCTCTCTGTGGTGCCACCCTTTGAGACTTGAAGGATAGAAATGGTCGCCGCTGTTGAAGGCTTCCCTACAGTGAGGTCAACAAGTGCAAAGGCCCTGGAACCAGAAAGCAAGGGAAAGTCCCCGTCGTCATTGCTGGGCTTCATTTACAAATAAATGGGCTGGGTGAACATCCTTGTTTTTTTAAAGGATTTGGGGTGGGGTTGGTAGGAAAGGCCAGGGGACGAGTTTTTGAGTTCACATCCAGCAGCTGCTGTGAATCATCACTGCCCAGAGTTGAGGTTAGAGTCAGTCATGCAGAGCTTCGGGTGAGAAAGGAAGTGCTAGCAAATGGCCTGGGTGCCAAATCAGGCCTACTTCCTTGTTTTTAAGGGCTTGTTTGCTAAGAATGGTTCTTACATCTTTAAGTGGTTGGAAAGAGTATTTTGTGGCAGGTGAAGTTCAACTTTGATTCTTCATTAATAAAGTTTTATTAGAACACAGACCTCCCCATTCCTGCTCTCATTCCCTGCAGTGGCAGAATTGAGTAGTAGTTATGGAGATGATGTCTTCCAGCACCTACTTGCTCTGTCTCAGAAACAGATTGCAGGTGTCTGCTGCATAGTGGGCAGTGGTGTCAGGAGGGTTCCAGGTCCAAGTCTGCTGCAGCTGGCCAGTGGGAATGCCTGAACTAGAGTGGAAGCAGAGGACAAGGGGTTAGAAGTTTGGGGTGGGTAGGGAGTGCTGATGAGTGCCCCCAGCAGTTGGGAAGGCGACTCTAGGGTCTGTTCTCAGTGGCTCTGCGTGTCCCTTGCTGACATTCATGAGTGCTTACTGTGCCCAGGTCATATTCTGAGTACTCACTTAGTCCACGTGACTCCCTGCTGGTAAAGTGCCCAGTTCATAAATGAGGAAGCTGAGGCCAGAGAGGTTGAATCATTTGCCTAAAGTTTCCCAGCTAATACCTAGCTGAGCCCTGGTTCAGGAGCTTGCCCTTGAATCTGAGCTTTGACTGCATCTGTGCTGAGGTTTTCCATACAGAAAGGAGACGCTTCCCAGGGGAATGAGATGGTAGCTGCCTGACATACTGAATTTTGAAGTTAGTCTTGGCTTAAATTCATCTTACAGATGGGGAAGTGGAGGCACAAGGTTTTCCTGTGCAAGGTAGGGAGTGGTCAAGTCAGGCTTTCATCCTGGCGTCCAGCACTGATTTCCTAAGCTTTAATTTGGCCATGGCACCCAAGCTGCTTCTAGGTCTGGGTTCATGGCATTGGCCCTGGTACCATCATCTCCTAGCCCCAGGCAAAGGTGTAGGACGGAGCCAGGAGCACCTTTGCCCTTCTCTTCACACCTGGCAAGTGCAGCATGACTGGTTATCGATGCCTCTTCCTGTGTGTGCTGCCCACATCTTACCCAAGCCCCACAGCTTGTGGTGTGCACACTGTAGTCCTGCCCCTCTCACTGCTCAGCGAGTGCACAGGGCCATAGGTTTTGAACATAGTCTGAATTAGAAGGTTGTGCTCTCCATTTACTCGGCAGATCAGTGATTGATGTTTCTTAAAGGAGCTCCTGAGTGGTCTGGAAGAACCAGCACTATTTTGACTCATAGTTACGTGTGGAGCTGTCTCATCCAAAGCCACCTGGCCCACCTCTTCCCATGTAGCACTCTGGTGAGAAAGGGACCATCCTGGATAGAAGGACTGACACAGGGGACGGGGTTGCCAGGTCAAAGTGATGGGCTTCTGAGGGTCTCCTGAAGCTGTGCTTTCTGGGCACATGAGATGTTAGACTGCCGACCACACATCAAGTGGTTTATGCATTGATGTTACAGATCTGGGTGTGCTGATGGCATTGTGATTGTGTAGAAGAATGTCCTTGCTTTGGGAGATGGGTGATGGAATCTTGTGGGTGAACTCATGGTGCTATAACTTATTTCTAAATAGTTCAGGCAGAAATATTCTGTTTTCTTTAGAAAAAAGAGTTAACTATCTCATGTGTATAGAGGAGTCCATTTTATGATTTTTCCAAACTTTTCTGTAAGTTGAAAAGTTAGGTGGATGTCTGTCAACTAATGAAAGGATGAGCTCAATGCAGCATAGCCATAAAGAGGAATATTATTGGGTCATAAAAAAGAAGTGAAGTGCTGGTTAATCTCAACATGACACTAATTATCTGGAGGAAGCCAGAGGAATATTATTGGGCCATAAAAAAGAAGTGCAGTGCTGGTTAATCTCAAAATGACACTAATTATCTGGAGGAAGCCAGACACTGGATTCCATGTACATCCATTCATGTGGAAATCCAGCGCAGGAAGTATTGGGCCAGTGGTTTCCTGTGGCCAGGAAGGGGCCTGGGAGTGGTGCTGAAGGAGGGGCTGGCAGTGTGAAGGAAGTGTGACCAACTGGGTAGTTGTGGTGGTTTGTACTGCCCACCTGGACCAGATTCTTAAGGGGTAAATTTTATGTAAAATGGAACCTCCACAGAAGATGTTGAGTCCAGGGGCTTTGTTCCCTGCCAGTCCGGGCTGGTCCTGGTGGGATTCTGGAGGCCCTCTCATGTGGAGGGAACCTGCTTGCATTTTAAGGTATTTTTTTCTCTCCTGACTGTTGGTTTCCACATACGCCCCTGGGAAACCTTCTGATTGGAGAGGTGAATGGGGTCAGGCTGTGTGGCTTTGAGACAGGCTGGTGGTTTTGAAAGTGTGTAAGCTGGGAGTCCAAGGGGGTGAACTATTTTGATGTACATCCTGCCAGCCCTACATTTCCCTATTTTTTACCTCTTTTCAAAGTCGGGGTCATTCTTGATGGGGGAATCCAGTAGTTGAGTAGTTATCTGAAGGAGGAAGATCTTATTGTGCAGGTAGATGAAGACAGCAAATAATGCTTTTTTTTTTTTTTGGTAGAGAAAATTGCCCTCCTCTGCATTTGAAGGGATTTTTCCAAGTCAGCAAGCTATTTAACCCGATGCTCAGTTCCATCTTTTGAGCTTCTCCAAATTGATTTTGGTGGTGTCCTTTGACCAGTCCTTTGAAAAGCCTCACCCTGGCAGGGTAGATGGCAACTGCACACTTGTTGACACAGCATGGCTGGTAGGAAGTAGGGGCTGTGGCCTGTCAGCGGATGCAGGAGGCTGGTGATGTGCCCAGGGCGTCTGCCAGCCTCCCAGCCTCCCGTCATTGCCAGAATGGCTGGTATGTGGTGACTTGGGCCCCAAGAACAGGCTTTGGTTATGAGTTAATTTGGGCGGATAGCCCTTAGAATTTGAAATGAACTGACCACAAGTTTATCCAGAAAACAGGGATGGGTAGAATATCAAGGCTAGGATTCTGCTAGGCTAACTGATGTTGGTTTGTTCTTGCTTCATGTGGAGACGGGCTGTACCTTCCTGTGGGTTGTGTGCAGAGCCACCATGGGCAGTGGGAGAGCCCCGTGCATTTTGGATCAGTTGTCTGTGTTAGATTTGGTGTGTGGACTAGCCTCTTCCCTTTGTTGCTTACTTTTTCTTTTGGTACCGGGGATTGAATTCAGAGGTGCTCAACCACTGAGCCACACCCCCAGCCCTGTTTTTTATTTATTTAGAGGCAGGATCTCACTGAGTTGCTTAGCACCTCACCATTGCTGAGGTTGGCTTTGAACTCACCGTCCTCCCACCTCAGCCTCCGAAGCCACTGGGGTCACAGGCGAGCACTGCCACCACACCCGGCTGGGTTCTTTTTTTTTTTTAAACACTTATATTTTTTTCTGTCACATTTTTCAGCTCACATTTTTCTTCGTGTCTGTCTCCAATATAACATCATGCCCACTGTTCAGTAAGATTTAAAGGCACGGAAAAGCAATGTGCCCCTGTGGAAGAAATTCTCAGTCCACACTATTCAGTGGCAATGCTTGAATTTGGTTCAGAGCCTCTGTTCTGTTTTGATGTGCACAGGAGAAAGTTTAAACTCTTGAGAATGAATGTGGCTTATTTAAAATGCAGATTATTAATTCGAGATGATATAACCATATAGTTAATTGAACCTGTTACTTGCCAGTGCAGTAGGTATGCTTAACCATTTCAACTTAATGGATTTTGGCCAATACTCGGTTTTAATGATGTCTTTTACACCTCTAATTTTAAAAATAAAGTAGTGGGGCTGGGACCGGGGTTGGAGCTCAGTGGTGGAGCGCTTGCCTAGCATGCGTGAGGCACTGGGTTTGATTCTCAGCACCACATATGAATAAATAAAATAAAGGTCCATTGATAACTAAAAATATTTTAAAAACAAAAACAAAGTCGTGCTTAAAATATTGCATCAAGTCCGGGGGAGTGGCCTTGCCTGTAATCCAGCCACTCAAGACACGGAGGCAGGAGAGTCACCGAGGCAGGAGAATGCGGGGGTGTTTGAATTTATCTGCAGTGTGTTTGGGGTGAGCGTTTTTTTTTTTTTTTCTTTTTTTATCATTTATTTTTTTAGTTGTAAGTGGACACAACACCTTTATTTTATTTATTTATTTTTTAAATGTGGTGCTGAGGATAGAACCCAGTGCCTCACACATGCCAGGGAAGTGCTCTTCCTCTGAGCCCCAGCCCAGCCCAAGGGGGTGAGCCTTTGCCAGGTGCTTTGTGCCATTTAGCTGGGTGAGGCATGAGCTGCGCGGTACTTCTGAATCTTACCTGTGAGCAGAAGAACCTGCATAGCCGTGTAGCACAGGCTCATAGACCCCAGCCTCAGACCAGGTTACTTGGGGTCTGCAGTGTGGTCCTGTGCCTCTGTCATTAGGAGCATTCCAGGGGGTCCTGCAGCAGGTGACCCACAGACTGAGTGTACTGTAGAATTTGTTGGCATTTGGGGGAACCACCCTAGATAGCCCAGCGTTGGTAGTAGGTGAATGTTAGGAGACCCTTGAATGTATCTGCAAGCACCATTTTGATTGTGTTGCATTTCTTAAAGGTTGTTGATGGCAGTAATTTTAGTTTTTTCACATGGGCACACCTGTGGTCCTGGCTACTTGGGAAGCTGACTCCTGAGCCGGGAGTTCAAGGCCAGCCTGGGCAACACAGTGAGACCTTGACTCAGAAGAAGGAAAAAAAAGAAAAGATACATAAAGGAATAAGTTACTGTCACTTGTTTTCAAGTGTTTTTCCTTCCTGTTATTTTAGGTCAAAGATCGAGGTCCAGAGGCCACTAGGAGGTTTTTTAATTGGTTTTATTGGAGCATTAACTTGGGAGCGATCCTTTCACTAGGAGGCATTGCCTACATTCAGCAGAACATGAGCTTTTTCACGGGGTACCTGATCCCCACGGTCTGCGTTGCCATTGCATTCGTGGTCTTCCTCTGTGGCCAGAGTGTTTTCATCACCAAGCCCCCCGACGGCAGCGCCTTCACGGATATGTTCAAGATACTGACATACTCGTGCTGTTCCCAGAGGCGCGGTGAGCGCCTCCGCAGCAGGTAAGTGCTTGAGTCTCCTCTCGGGCTATGGGACTGTTCACTCGCTGTCACCAGAACAGCTGCTTACATGATGTAGTTGTGTGTGCTGGGCACGGGGCTGCGTGACTTGGGAGTCCTGTCTCTAGCCTTGCATCTGCTTGGCAGGGTGTTGAAGGACTGTTCCCTGCTGTCCCCTAGTGGGTCTGGTCTCTAGTGTTCATCTGGGGGCGGGGGCGGGCATGCAAAGGGTGCGGGCGAGTGAGGAGCTCATGTTCAACTTATTCCACTGCCAGTGCAGCTGGAAGCCCCCAGCAGCCTAGTGTAGCCTGTAGGTGAGGATGGGCGGCCTGGGGCAGAGAGAGACCGAGTACATGCGCATGCCTGATGTTCCGTGTTGAAACATCTTGAAATACGTTAATGAACATTTAAGCCACTGTTTACTTGGCTGGTCTCTTTCTGTCAGAGGCAAGAGAAGCAGTCTGTCAGGTCAGTAGGTGTTCCAGTATCCAGGGGCCGCGGCAGCTGCTCCAGCAGAAGGACCAGTAGCAGGGTTTTGAGATGCATTTTAGGGAGCCAGACCATCTCAGCTTTGTGCTGAGTGTTCCAGGAACTGGGATCTTAAGTCAGGAAGTCCTGTGTCCTGGGAACCCCCCCATGTACCCTCATACTGTGACAAGTACTCATCAAATGCAGGCTGATAAAGAAAAGTCTGGAACTTAGCTTAAGAAGAGACCTCAGTCATCTTTGCATTGTTAACTTGTTGAGATGCCCATTAGCCATTCATGTGGTAAGACCATCCCTTCAAGCTGTGTGTTTCTGTGACAGGACAGGACATTCAAGATGTAGGACACTTTGTCTCTAGAGGAGTCTCCAGGTCATTACAGTCAGCCCCCAGGGACTGCTTGATCAGCCTGGGATGCCTAGCAGTCTCTCAGTGGGCCTTGGGGCTGCGTACCTCACTGCTGGATGCCCCTGGTGCAGGCCGAATGTCCGCCTTGTGTGCCTGCCGTTTGTCTTCTCCTGTGCTTGGGGCCTCAGTGGCCATGTCTGACTGGTACTCCTGCCCCTGGTCGTTCTGAAGCTACACCAAAAAAGCCCCAGTACCAGCCTTTTTGATGCAGGCAGAATGTCTGAGGTTGCTTCTGGGCTCCTCATGTGGTGTGTGACAGGTGTGCTCTTCTCAGCGGGCCAGTTGGGGATGCTAGGAGTCACCACATTTTTCAGACACCTGATTCAAACCTTCTAGTAGTGGGTGCACTCTTTAAAACCAGAGCTGCCCTGCTCAGCAGCAGTCACTAGCATTTGGTGATGGTGGGGGGGCTGTTACCAGGAATTGAACCCAGGGGCACTTTCCACTGAGCGACTTCCCTGGTCCCTTTTTTGTATTTGATTTAAAGACAGTGTTTTGCTGAGTTGTTCAGGGCCTCTGTAAGTTGCTGAGGCTGGCTTTGAATGTGTGGTCCTCCTACCTCGGCCTCCCCAGCCGCTGGGATCATAGGCGTGTGCCACAGTACCTGGCGGAGACACCAGCATTTTGTAGGCCTTACTCCCATTAGGCAGAAGTGAGGTCTTGGTTGCAGATGTTGATTCTGTGAGCTGATATCCAGGCTGCCCTCCTTGTCTCCTGGGCCTGAGTGGGCCCAGCTGGCACAGGAAAGAGAGTTAGGGCTGCTTTTGTGTTTGGAGTCTTCCTGGGCAAAAGTAATTACGGAGGGCTACTTGGAAAAAAGTTGATGATTTAAAGAATTGTCAACCTAGGCTGTTTGTGTGAACTGGCTGTGTAACATTGGAGGGTCAGTGACCTTGCTGGGCCTTCTCTTTTTGCATAGTGGAGATGGACTGAGAGGCCCAGTGCGACCTGAGTGTGATGCCGAGTCCCTAATGGGGCCAGTCAGTAGCAGCTACCAACTTGAGCCCAGGGAAGTACGGTGCATGCAGTTTCCATGTGAGACTCTTAACTTTATCTAGGCCAGTCCCAGGTTCTCTTGTTTCAAAGATTATGTAATGCTTACTTTAAATGAGAACTGAGGATCTGTTTAAAGGGCCTGAGTGCTTCCTTCAGATCCACTCCTCCTTGAGTGGAGAGCCCATGAGAACTGATGGCTCTCTACCACAGAGCATGCACTGTGCCCCTGGGCTTCCAGGGAGAAACCGTGGACTCTTGTCTGTGTTCTGATGTTACATGTGACTGTGACTTCATGGTAGGTCATTGAATAGTGTACCAACTATGTATGAGCTGGGGGTTTTGGTACATGTGACTTGGCAGTTTTTAAAATGTTTAAGTGATAAAAAGCAAAAGCAGTGCAGCCAGTTAGTAACCCATGTGGAAGCTTCTTCCTGCAAAGGGCATTCATTGTTCGGAATTTAAATGTTTTTGGAGAAACATACTTAGCGTGATGTGACCCATCTCTGGTAGGATCTACTAGTGCCTAAAGACTTCAGAGTGTTCCAGTGTCCCCAGCACCCATCATAACAGCCCTGGGTGCACAGTAGGTACTCAGAAAATACTTATTGAATTTATTTTGATAAATTTGGTTAAAATATTAATTTGTAGTTTTTAGCTTTTATTTTTCCCTATTCTGAATGTCTAGATGAAACATCAACTTTATAAGTTAAAAATAATTTAAATAGGGGCAACTTAGTAAAATGGGACATGAGTTTGTAAACTAGAAAGTGGATGATTGCCATTTCTCTCCGAGTCCCAGAATTGGAAGGTGCTCTTAAGATGACTGTCTTCTGGTATCTTTGGCATTAGCGAGAGTGTGCAGTCCCCCTCTCCGCCTACTCCCCCAGCTTTGGGGCATGGGAAGGAGTCTGGAGCTGCCTGGTGGGATCTGCTCATGTTATGAAGGACAAATCAGAGCCAGAGGGAGAAGCAAAGGTGCTGGTGTGAGGCCCGGACGCTCAGCCATGTGCTGGACTGTGGTGTCTGTGTGTGAGGGAGACATGGAGGTCGGAGCAGAGGGGCAGTGGTATGCTACCGTGGCCAAGGCTGCTTGGATTTGCATCGAGCCCCCAAGCCTTGTAGCTTTGTGACTCTGGCACATTTCTTGCCCTCTCTGTGCCCCAGCTTCCTCTGTGAAATAAGTCAGTAGATCCTGTAGTACTTCCCAGGCTCATGGTCAGGGTGAGTGGCCAAGTGCTCAAGGCTCCGAGAACAGAAGCCCTCCCTGTTTCCCGTCTCCTTGCCCTCCTCTGGCATTGCCCTCCCCTCCCTCCCCTTTATCTGGGAGAGGATGCCGTTGTGGCTGTATTGAACATGAGACCGGCTGTCAGCCTTGATGTTGAGTAGCCTGGGCATGGGGGTGCGGCTCAGTGGGAGAGCACATGCCCAGCATGTGAGAAGCCCAAGGTTGGACCCCTGCACAGCAAGAGAAAAGTAAACACAGGGAGCTAGGGATGTGGTTCAAGTGGTAGCACGCTCCCTTGGCATTCACGAGGCACTGGGTTCGATTATCAGCACCACATAAAAATAAAATAAAGATTTTGTGTCCACCTAAAACTAAAAAATAAATATTAAAAAAAAAAAAAAACAGTCTAGCACAGTTGCTTGTTTGTTTTAAACACCACTCAATGATGAGCAGATACTGCTGGCTCTTGGCACAGTAGCCGTGAGCAGGGTGACCAGTGCTGGATTAGATGGGCCCTCTGACTACAGTCCAGCTGCGTCTCTGGCCTGCTCAGTCACAGCAGATATAGCTGTAGGCAGGCTAGCATAAGGCCTTTGTCAGCTGTTCCAGCACATTGTGCCACATTTAGAAACGATTCCGGTAGCTGTATTGTGGTGTGCACAGTTAGTAATAGGACAGTTACAGCAGAATCCATGTGCTGAGCTGGTTTCCTACCCCAAATTTAAATTGTTACCAAATACTTGATTGCTGGGGTGGAAGAAAACTAACTCCTTCATTTTGTTTCCCAAAGTGAAGGCCTTGGAGTCTTTCAGCAACCTTCTAAACAAAGTCTGTTTGATTCATGTAAGATGTCTCGCGGAGGGCCGTTCACAGAGGACAGAGTGGAGGATGTGAAAGCCCTCGTCAAGATTGTGCCTGTGTTCGTGGCTCTGATCCCTTACTGGACAGTGTATTTCCAGGTGGGTGTACATGCCGACTGGACGGCCCCTTGCCCAGGCACGCTGCCCTCACATGTTCTGTCTAGTACTGAGGGGATTTTTTTCCCATGAATCTCTGAAGAGCTTTTGTTTTTAGTTATAGACTCATTTGGCTGCTGTAAATATTTTGAAACCCTTTTTAGAAAAGAAGCTGAGAAGGAGTGTGCTTCTGGTTTTCTGGGTCCTCCGTTAACTTAGTTTCAAATTGGATAACTGGCAGTTCTTTTCCAAAATCATCTCGAGGACTCCTATGGTGACAAATAGTGACAAATAGTTGACATTTCTGCTTCTCACTTGAACCGCCATCTGTTCTGAGAGTTGCCACGAGGCCTCCCTCTTGGTTTGGGGAGGAGATGGCCACGGTCCTCGGACACCCTGTCTGGTTCACTTGTAACAGTGCTGCTTTCTGTGCCCAGATGCAGACCACGTACGTTTTACAGAGTCTTCATCTGAAGATTCCAGAGATCTCAAGCATCACAACCACTCCTCACACGGTAAGACCACTGGGCTGACGGAGGTCAACATTTCAACGTCTTATGCATTGCCATTCATCGCTAGACTAACAGCGTTCTTCTGGGATTCAACCTTCACATCGTAGGGCACATGTTTCCATTGGTCAGGCCATTTGTCATAGTGAATTGACAATGGCAATCACACATCAATTAGTATCTTTAATTGGCCCCGTCAAGCATAGAACAAGAGATCCATTTAGAAATAAGTGTTCCCAGTTCAGGGTCTTGGAACTGAGAGCGGCTTCCCTGGGTGGGGATGGACTGTCCTCTGTGCTGTCATGTGGGGGATGCTCGGGCTGTGGGCCTGACACCCCCTGTGTTCTGAATGCAGTTCCCAGCGGCCTGGCTCACCATGTTCGATGCCGTGCTCATCCTGGTGCTCATCCCGCTCAAGGATAAGCTGGTGGACCCCATCCTGAAGAGGCATGGCCTGCTGCCATCCTCCCTAAAGAGGATCGCCGTGGGCATGTTCTTCGTGATGTGCTCCGCCTTCGCTGCAGGTAAGCCCCTCTGTCCCCTGCGGCTGCTCTGCTGAGCACGCAGGTGTGTGCTCTGCAGTGGGTCGCCCAGGAGTGTGTGTGCTGGGAAAGTCAGCCACCAAGCGTTTCCTAGGATGGTTCTCCATTTTTTAGTTTTTCACTATGAGAATTCCAGTCTTCTTCTAGGATGCATTGTTCCTTTCCTTCTAGAACTGAAACCAAACGTGTGCTCTAAGGAGCCGTCCTCTGCCCCTGGTTTGGTCTGGAGCAGCGGCTGCTGCGTGGCTGCGTGCTGCTGAACTGAAGTGCTCTGTGGTTCTCCAGCAGGAGAGTCTCCCTGCAGGGGTCAGCCTCAGAAGGCCCCAGAATCCTTCCAATTTTTATAGAAAATTTTTGTGCATCTTCCTAGGGAGGAAGACTTGATCGATTATTATAGGCTCAGGTCACGCTTCTGCTCCCAGATGTCAGGAATTCATGTCTACGTGTGCAGGTGCCAGGGAGGGAGTGCTCTTTTGAAGGGCTCGTGTGCATTTTCTAGTTCTCATTCTAACATGTTGTTTCTCTTTTGCTCATAAAGCTGGCCTATTGCTGACTCCTAAAATGTGCTTTGAAGTTCCTTCTTGATTAGTCTTTGAAGGTCATTGAACCATAAAATAACTTACATGATAGGGAAGCTGGTGTTACTAAGCCAGCAGTGCACAGCTGCAGCCATGTTCAGCAGGTGTCAGGAAGTTAGTCCTGAGGCTTAGGAGACCCATATTCAAGAAGCCAGGACATTTTAGAAGAGTTGCCTTATCTTTTGAGTGAACAGATAATTAAAGTGTGCTCTGAGTGAGGTTTTTTCTCTATAGATTAGTTTCTCTTTAGAACTGTGATGTAAGCAAGCAAGAGCAAATACGGAGTAAATTGCAGCATCACTAACGGGCTATCTGGAGGAGGAGGAGGACAAGCCTTTGTCCATTGGCTGTCTGTAGGGTCCCAGTTCTGGCCTCAGCTCCTTTCTCCCTGGCTGGGGTGTGTCCCCTGGGTGTGGACCTGGCCTGGTAGAGCCGCCTGTGCAGGCTGGTCTCTTACCTACCGTCACATGGTGCCACCAGCCCTTGCTGTTCCCGGGACTCCCTTGGTGGGCTCTGGACTGGGAGAGCATCCTGAATCTGAGGCAGAATCTTCTGAATGCCTTCTCTGGCCGTAGCCTTTATTAGAAGAGATTTAACCACTAATCTGTAGCAAGGTTTTGAAGTTGTTATACAGCCAAGTCACAGTTTTTAAAAATAGATTAATCCATAGTCTTTGCCATCTAAGCATGGCCACTGCATCTGTTTTGTCCTAGAACACTTTGTGTGTATAACTGAAGTGTATAACTGAATTGCTTTTGCAGGGCAGAAAGGGACAAGGTATTCTCGAAGCTCATAGTGTCATTTTTATGTATTATATACTTAGCTTTTTTTTCATGTCAGCAATGACATGTTGAAATTATGCTTTTAGTGTATTTCATTTTTAATGTTATGTCATTTAAAAATGTGTCCCCTTCTACGATGGTTGGTCTGAGGTTATCCACACAGGTTGTGTGCTCACCCTACCTATGCATGTCCTTGGGATGAATCATGTGAAGGGGTGAGTGCTGTGTCTAAGATTCTGGTTTATAGCTCCCTTGCCAGTATTGATTGTTTTCTTGTGTTATTTTTCTCTTATCTGAAGGGTTAAAAAATGTTTTGTTATTGTTTTAACATATGTTACCAGTCGGGTTCCAGCTTGCTGCTGAGTTTCCAGTGGCATTTCTGGTGGTGGCAAACCAAGAACCTCCATCCCGGGTTCACCAGGGGTTTTTGGAAGGAGTGAGTGCTGGATCATTCTCTGGTGGTGGTGGGGGATGCACGAGAATCTCTCCTTCCTGTCCCACTGGGGCTGCTGTCATTCTGTGCTGACTTTCTGTGGTCAGCACTTGGAGTGCTTCTGGAGCAGGCCATTTGCTGAGAGGGCTGAATCGTCCACGTGTCCTTGAGTGCAGCCTGTCTGCTTCCATCCTGGCCGGGGTCTGTGTGGCTTTGTCGGGTGGAGTGTCTGGACCACGTGTCACTGAGCAGTTGGTAGGTCTCTTCCTGTGGCCTAGAATAGTTGACTGCCAGGAGAGCTCTCCTTCTGTGTTGTCCCTCAGGTATTTGCCTAAAGTATTCATCTGAGCCCGTTTCCTCTCTGAGAGGTCATTTATTTGGTAACTTTTTAGAAAATCTTTTCTGATTTTATGCAAATTTTCTTTGCTCATGATTCACTAATTTTTTAAAATAGTCTCTACTAAATCATGCATTTTCTTGAGTTTTAAGAAAATGTGTAAGAGATAGAAATAGTCTTTTAAGTAAATCTGTTGCTTCCTTCCTCATTTCCAGATTCATGTATTTACATACTCTCTTTGTTCATCTTGCCAGACTTGTATGCCTTTGTATTTCCTTACAAGTGTCTTGGATTATCAATTTAGCTGTTTCTATGTTTACCTTTGTTTAAGGCACTGACACCGTTTTATTAGGCTTTAGGTGTAAACCACAGAGGAGAGGCACTGGCAGGATTTCACAGAGTCAAACAGAGGTGCTCTGATTTGGATGTGGTTTCTCTGGGCTCTGTGTCTTCTAGTTGAAGAATTAAGTACTTTCCATTGGGTTTGTTTCTGATATATTTTTTCTCATTTATTGAGTTAAATTCCTTGTTCACTTTTATTTATTTTTTTCTGTTTATTAGTGCAAACATTTTAAGCTAAGAATTTGCCTGTTGTTACTGCTTTAATCAGGTATTGTATGATTTGTTATTTTGGTCTCTTATTTTCTGAGAATGTTGAAATTTGGTTTTGATTTCCTTTTTCCCCCATTTTTTTTCATATTAATTATATATAACATTTGCTGAGAGGGCAATATTTGGTTCATATTAGTTATACATAACATTAAGGTTCATTCTGACATAATCACCAAATCTTGGAATAGGATTTGCTCTAATTCATCTTCAGGACCCCTGCCCCACTCGCCCTCATTTTTAGTGACTTGTGGGAATGCGTGATGGTGAGATTCCTTGTGGTGTGGACATACGTGTGTATAGGAAAGCAAGGTCAGATTCAGGCCACTGTTTTTTCCTATCTCATCCCTTTTCCTCCCCCTCAGTCCCCTTCTTCTGTCCACTTATCTTTCTTTTATTTTGATGGCATTTCCCCCGCCCCATTCCCCTCCCTCCCTTTTTTGGTAGGTCTCAGAAAATGCTCAACCTTTGACTTTCTAGGTCTGGCTTATTTTACTTACCATGATGATCTCCAGTTCCGTGGTTTCCTTTTTGATCCAATAACAATTCCAGAGAATTTTTTCATTTACTGATACTGATATTTTTGCCTATACTTTGTAAATGATGGTTCATTTTATTGGGGAGTTTGGTGAGATCCTGGCTTTCTTAAGTCCTGTCTTGGGGTTTTGAGACTTTCTTTATGGCCCTGATGGACATTCTAAAAACTCTTTAGTCAGATGCTGAATAACGTGATTCATCTGTTGTCATATTCTGAGGCCTTCCTGCCACGTTGGGGACGGAACCCAGGGCCTCGACAACTGAGCTGCTTCCCCAGCCCAGTCACAGCTTTAACATCTGGAGTCCTAAATTGCAGGCCTTGGGGTTCCCCAGATGAGGTGCAGGCCAAGGGTAAGCCAGTGGGTCTGTGGCGACCAGGGGCACAGGTCCTGGCCAGTGCTCTAAGGTACAGCACAGGCTTAATGATGTCTGTGTGTTGCAGCGAGGCAGCCATCGACAGGGCCAAGGCCGCGATGACAGGGCCATGCTGTTTGATCCTGTGAGCTGTCTGCGTGGAGACCCCAGGCATCCTTTCTTGTCTGCAGATCTGCACCTGGCTGTGCATGTGGGTCTGGTTTGCAGCCCTCTTACCAAGAAAAGCCTTACTTTTTATTGTCTGCTTGTTCTGAGAGGATGGGTCAGGTGTGTTTCCAGCAGATTCTCAGTGTTTCTAGCAGCTCCAAGGTCCTTTGCTTGTCTTAGGAATATGGGATTCATGTTTTCTCTGAGACTCGAGGTGTCTCCTGACTGCAGCTCACTGCACCAGCTCCAGGGCCTCCATGTGCCCGCCTGTGGTTGGCAGCAGGTTCTTGCCCCGTCGTTTCCCCTACTCCTCTTCCCGATGCTTCCTGCCTGGGACAGTGTGGCTGGCCTCTTCTGCTGATGACCTTCAGGCCACGTGGCCTCTGGTGTGTTTCCTTGTCTGGGCTGCTGCAGGTTTCTGACTTGATGGGAGCACAGGGCTCTTGGATTTCAGAAGGCTGTTGGTGATCTTAGCGCTTGCACAGGGCTTCCTGATGGAGGAGGTGCTGGGCCTGGCCGGGAGACCTCTCTGCCTGGATGTGGAGGATGTTCTGCTGGGACAGTGCAGTTGACAAGTGAACTGAGCACATTTTGGATCCCGGATTTTATTCATTATCTCCCTGGAAATTGTGTTTTGGTCCTTTCTCATGCTCACACTTTAAAAGGAGTGATTTTAGTGTATCCATTGCATTGCCTTCTTCCCAGTCTCTCGCCCTCCCTCATATCGTGTTTTTAAATAAATAGATCTCTATATCAACATTGGATAGCGGGGTCCGTTTTATTTGCAATTAGAAGTTCTTAAATAAAAAAAAAAAAAAAAGAAAGTGGGTGAGATTCTTACAGAAGGCCGTGACCACCAGTTGATGTTCCCCTCGCCTGGACGTGAGAAGAGTGGCCACCCTGCTCTTGTGTGCTGGCCTGGTGCTGGCCAGTCAGCCTGCCCCTGAGTTGGGCCCAGTCCTGGGCGGGCAGAAGTGGATTTTGTGTTTCAGTTGAGTTGGCCTCTGCAGGGAAAAGGGCGTCACTGTGAGCAGGTATAATAACAATGGTAATGTGTCGGGGTCACCTTAAGGCTGTCACTGGTGGGGAAGACACCTCAAGTCCTGTCCTTTCACCGACAGGACCGCTACGTATTCCCTCACTTCCTTTTTAAAACAGATACAAGAATGTGGACGAGCAGTCAGGTGTTTGAGGATGAGTGAGCAGAACCTGTTTGTGTAGGATGCTGTAGAAGCACCAGTGGATAGCGTTGGGAAGGGGGACTCGGGACCTGCCGGGGAGCTGAGAGCTACAGCTCCCTCAGCCGTGGGCACTGTGGCACCGAGTAGGCGCCATCCTCCCGGGGCTTTTCAGAACCATCTAGAGCTGTCTGGCAAACAGAGTTTTAGTTTGATCACAAATGATGCTGCACTAACCCATTTATAAATTCTAGGAATCCTGGAAAGCAAAAGGCTGGACCTTGTTAAAGAGAAAACCATCAACCAGACCATCGGCAAAGTGGTGTACCATGCCGCGGACTTGCCCATTTGGTGGCAGGTTCCACAGTATGTGCTGATCGGCATCAGCGAGATATTTGCAAGCATAGCAGGTACGGACGGCCTCATGTGTGTCCGCAGTACTTGGTGTTTCTGCTAATTAAGGAGCCCCTGTGTCATCTGTAGGGAGCTGTGGGTTAGAACATGGCTGCTGAGTGTGTGCTGAAGCTGCAGCAGGGGTGCGTGGACACTCACTGCCTCCCCTCTAGGTGCCACAGAGGGGAGAGGGAAAATCGCTTCTGCTGGGTCTGGTGCTTGCAGAGTGCCCCTGACCCTGAGGACACAAGCCACACTTGCTGCTCCATGTGGTTGGCGCAGATCTTCGTAAAGTGGCAGGTCTGGCTCACAGGCCTCTGTGTCCCTGTCAGGGATGTTCTGTATTCTGGCCACTGGGTAGAAATGGGAATCGGTGACTCCCAGAGTCTGGAGCACTGGCCAGGGTCGGGGGACAGCGGAGGTCTTTACCTCTGAGGGGCTCATGAAGCACTGGCTGATGGCTCTGTGAGGGGTGTGTTATTGCAGAGTGGCCTTCTGTTTAGGATGCATGCCCGCCTCTGAATCCTGCTGCTGTAAGCATCTGAGTTTACAGCTGGGCCTGCTGAAGTCGTTTAAAACTTATGGAAATGGTATCCTGGCCGGGTACAGTGGCATACGCCATTAATCCCAGTGACTCAGGAGCCTGAGGCAAGACGATGACAAGTCCCAAGCCCAGCCTGGGTACCTTAGCGAGGTCCTGTAAGGTCTGTCAATGAGCTGGGCCTGTAGCTCCGTGGTGGAGCACTTGACTAACATGTGCGAGGCCCTGGGTTCCGTCCAATACCTCAGGAACAAAGACATGGGATCCTGAAGGAGAGTCCCCTTTCCCTTGGGCTGAGGCTGGGGCTCAGTGGTGCAGCACCTGCCTGCACATGTGAGGCCCTGGGTTCGACCCTCAGCACCACATAAAAATAAAATAAAGGTGTTGTGTCCACCTACAACTAAAAAAATATTTTTTAATAAAAAGCCCTTGATGGGCTGGGGTTGTGGCTCAGCAGTAGAATGTTCCCCTAGCACGTGCGAGGCCCTGGGTTCAATCCTCAGCACCACATATAAATAAATAGATAAAGGTGTTGTGTCCAACGACAACTAAAAAATAAATATTAAAAATAAATAAATAAAAGCCCTTGGACATGGGGGAGTTGTTTCTCTGACAAGTTCTGGGAGTAGGCACCTTCCAGGAGCAGGCCTCCCCCATTGTGCCTGAGGTGGGGCTGGTTTTGTGCTTCCTGGTGCTTCAGGAGCTGTAATGTGGGCCGAGTAGCCACTGCTGCAGGAGGGAAGTGGTTGCCTGCCGGGCTCCCATCTGAGCAGAGCTGCCTTCCTGCACCAGGAGGGGCAGGGCGCCCCCAGGTGTCGGGTGCACCTGACCGGAGGCCCTCCCCTCCCCCCAGGTCTGGAGTTCGCCTACTCGGCCGCCCCCAGGTCCATGCAGAGTGCCATCATGGGCCTTTTCTTCTTCTTCTCCGGCGTTGGGTCTTTCGTGGGCTCAGGGCTGTTGGCCCTGGTATCCCTCAAAGCCATCGGATGGATGAGCAGCCACACCGACTTCGGTAAGAGCCAGCCCCCGTGGTGTGGGGAGTCCCTGCAGCTTGGCTGCCTGTGGGTGAGCCGGGTGGTCTGCACATGGGAGGGTGAGCAACATGGGCGGGTGGGCAACGTTTCTCAGGACACAGGGGCGGCCCACTTGCCCTCAGGAGCCTTTCCTCACTCCAGGTCTGCGGCCACTCAGCTACACCCTGCTGAGCTGCTGCTTCTGGGAGGGTCCTTGACTGAGGGTCCCTGTTGTCTGTAACTGCTTCCGGCGGAAGTGAAATCCGTGTACAAGTTCTCGTTATTTAACTTGGTCTTATGTACTTCTTTCCTTTTCTTGACAAATACTTTTGTTTTCTGATACTAAAAAGACAAGGGTAGATAAGTTTCTTTTTGTTTCTTAATAAACATTATTCGTGATCAATCATAATAGGATTTTGCAATTAATGCCAGGAGGTGGCATCTTGGGTTTTGAACAGAATCACTCAAAAGTCAGAGTTTGGCTTTCCCCAGATTCATAATAGATGTGGGGGTGAGGACTCCCTGTTCTCCTGTGTTTTCAACGTGCTGTCTGCACCCAGCCTCCTGCCTGAGCGCTTGCTCTGTTTCAGTGGTGCTAGCCACTGTGGTTTGTTCGTCCCCTGGAAATCGATGGCAGTTCAGGGACTTTTCTCTGTTAGTTGCAGAGCCCCAGAGCCCTCCAGAGGTGGAGCTGAAACTCCTTCCTGTGAGGTCCTCTCAGAGTGTCAGAAATCTAGAGTTAGCAGTTCACACTCAGGAAACTCTGGTTTCCTCAAACTGTGGATCAGCACTTAGTAAACACGTGTGCTGTCCCGCTGTCCCTGCGTATCATGTTAACTTGATCACTGCACTGTTAGACCTGGAGTCCTTGTGAACTGTTCAGAGAGCAGAGGGAGGAGTCTCGCTTTTCAGTCAGTAGATCAGTCTGTGCTTGTGAGCCTGTCGGAGAGCAAAGCAACTCACTCTGCAGGCAGCCGCGTCCTCACGGCCTCAGTGGCCGTGCACGCCTGTTTCCCTGTCTCTTTGGGAATTGCTGCACACCCTGCAGGCTTGTGGGGACAGGCAGTGCTGCCCTGGTGGCACAGACTGAGAGGCTCGAGTGCCCCTTGCCATGCAGCTGTGCCAAGCCAACGTCCTGCCACTTCTCTGTGCGTGCATTAGCCAGGGGTCTGCAAGCTCTTCTTCAAGGGGTGACTGCGGGTCCACAGAATCGGGGGTTCTGGACCTGCGTGGTCCTCTCTTCTGCACGGTCCTCTCTTCTTAGTACTTGTTGGGAGTTCAGCACTGTTTTAAAAGCCACATGGCCTGGGACAAAGCCAGTAGTCAGCATACCAATGGGCGCTAACACTAGCGTCAGGGATGCGGATTTACCAGCGGAGTGTCAGCTTGCAGGCGCTAAAACCTGAAAATGTTGAAGTTCTGGAAACAAACTTGTCGTCCCTGTGGTGTTTGGAATTTCGTTGCCGTGTCTGCCCGGCTTACCAAGAGTGCACATTAGGGGTTTCCCAGGGACCTGGCAATGGTCTAGAGCACGGGGCCTGAGCAGCCAGCTCCTGGCTCTCTGTGTTGAGAAGCACACAGGTGGCGGCCCATGCACTCTTCAGTAGAACGCCAGCTCCGTGCTGGGCTTGGGCAGAACGTAGAGGCTCCTAAGTTGGTTCATGGCGACAGAAGAGCCTTTGGAAGATGGCTGGAGCGAACACGCCACGCTGTCACACGTGTGCTTCTGGGGGCGAAGCAGAGGAAGCCAATGTTTTATACTTCAGTCAAATTTTGATTTAGAGGAAAAGAAAATTAATAAGGGCCCCCTTACCTCCTGCTGGCTCTCAAAGGCTGGCTATGGCTAATGGCTTTGCCTCGCCCTTGCCTCTTCACCTGCTCAGCCTGGGGTGGCGCCAAGCCTGGGTGGCAGTCCCTGGTACCAGGGAGCTGCAGCCAGCTCTGGATCACCTCTAGGTCGCCGCTGCGTCCCTCGGCCAGGCTTCCCCCCACCTGTGTCATCAGGGTCGGAGGTGGGTGGGACAGGAGGAGCACGAGGGTACAGAGCCCTGGGTGGTGGTGACCACTGTGGGGACTTCCCCAGGGGCTTGAATGCAGAGGGGTGGGCTTTCTGTGTTTGGGCCACGTATTCTGCTAATTCCTGGTGCCTGTGGGGACCAGGTGTGGAAGTCTCACGCCCTCCCTCCCTCCCTCCCTCCAGGCAACATCAACGGCTGCCACCTGAACTACTACTTCTTCCTGCTGGCTGCTGTCCAGGGGGCCACCCTCCTGCTCTTCCTCATCGTCTCTGTGAAGTATGACCGGCAGCGATCCAGAGCAGATGGGACCCCTGCCAGCGCCCGGGCCTGATTTGAGAGCCGCTGTGGCCCTGGACTGAGCATGGGACGGCGGGCAGGCCTGGGTGGGCTTGTGGGCTGGCCACCGGCTTTCTATGCTCACGTGCCGTCTGCACCCTTCCCTCTGCCCCGCGGGCTGGTGAGTGCCTTCCTGAGCTCTGCCTCCTGGCACCCAGCCCCCGGAGCAGAAGGCAGGTGTAAGCATGTGGCCCTGTCCCCGAGGGCTCTTGGTCCCCCAGAACATGCAGACTGAGACCCCGGGGCCTGGGGCCGCTGCGGTGGTGCTGGAGCCCATTTTCTTACACGTCTACCCCTCCTACAACCCTGTGAGCGCCCTTTTGAAAAACTAATAGCGTTTACTTCTGAGGAGGGGGTGGGGTCTTTGAGAGCCAGGCCAAGTGCGGGGTGGGGGGTGGGGTTCATGGAATCCTGTTCGTGGTTCCTCCCTGAGCCACCGTCCTGCCATCGCCAGGTCCTTGGCAAGTCGTAGTGCATATTTCATCTGCTGCTTCAAGAAACACTTATTTCTTAAACTTTTGACGTGACTTGCTTTTAAGCAGGAACATGTGTCAGTAATTATTTATGGCCACGTGTCCTATCTCGAGCTGCAGAACAACTTGTGGGGTGTTTTGGATCCTGCCTAGACAGTCCTAATCTCTAGTTTTATTTTGAGTCTGCGTGAGACTGAAGGCTGGTTGTGGGTGGCTGGGGGAGAGCGCTCTTGTGAACAGAATTAGTGTAACAAATAATTAAACATTCTCCATGAACTTGAGCTGCGGGGCTGGTGGCCGACTCCTGTGTTGCTGACCTAGCTGGGGTTCTGAGTTTGTCCACTAAGCTATTCACTGTGTGTCGCTGTGTTTTTGGTATAATTTTATTATAAAAGCATCTCAAACGTGAGACCCAGTCGAGTTCTCTGAGTGGTTTGTCCACATCGGCCCTGGTCTAGCCTTGACATAGAGATTCTGTGAGGATTCTCGATTCCTACGAGGCAGGGTCAGGTAAGGAGCCCTGGTGTGGTGCCGCCCGGCACAGCCTTTCCATTTCCAGCGGGGGTCTCCAGCCCGTGTGCTGCAGCTCTGCCGTGAAGCCCCTGGCAGCAAACCTGAAGGCAATGGTGAGGCGCTCGCTGTTGGACAGAGTGGACAAGAGCCACAGAAGGAGCCCGGGGGATCTGACCTGGGACTGGCCTGCAGGTGAGCGGCCATGGTTCTCATGGGGCTGGAGGTGCGAGCCTGCTGGGAAGGAGGGAAAGAAAGGGAAGTGTTTCAGGGAGAGTCTGCTCTGCAGAGGAGTGGTGGTATCTTTGGGGCATGCTGTGTGCCCCAGCTCACTGCCCTGTGCTGGCAGAGCCAGGTTCCCTCCCGGGGACTCGCCACGTAGGGCAAGAGCAGAGTAGGTGCGCGGACCCAGCCCTTTCTGCCTGTGCTAATGCAGGTCCCCTGTGTGGGACCCCATGGCCCCCACCCCTGCCCTCGGCCTCATCTCATCAGCTCACGTGGTGCACACTGGCCACTGGGTGGGGGCTCTCCCCAGAACCGGGTGGCACCTGTGATAATCGTGACAAGTGCACACGAGGCTCTGCTCCACTCCTGGCACAAACCTCCTGAAATCCTGGACTCTTCTAGTACGTAGTCTTTGACTTGGTGGTTTCTGGGGTGCTAGAGCCTCTTGTCCTGATGAGGCCACCTCGGGGTGGGAGCTGGTGCCTGGTGAAGTCGCCCCACCTGCTGCCCTGGGAAGGGGTGTGGCAGGAGGGGAAGTTGTAGGCACCTCTGCTGTCCTACCTCTGGGTCTTCCTAAAACCCCAGAGCAGGCTGTGGAGCCTCCCTGCCTGCTGCCCGTGGGAGGCTGGAGTGGGGCTCCTCGCCCTGCCCACACACCTTGCCCTGAGTGTCTCTTCTCTTGGGCTGGTCATCTGTGTCCTTGGGATATCCTCTATAGGCAGTAAGCAAACCTCAGTGTCTCCCTGAGCTCTGGAAGCCACTCCAGCCCCTGGTTTTTAGACTGTGAGCAAAGGGTGGAGGGTGGGCATCAGGCTCACCCCCAGCGCCCCAAGAGTGAGTGGAAACCCACTGAGCACCCCTGTGCTGTGCGGGAGGTGTTGGAGCAGGCTTGCCCGAAGCCGGCCGTCTCTCCTGTCCTCAGTGAGCGCCCCTCCAGATGCAGCCACTGCTCTACAGAGAGGTAGGGAGGCTTCAGGCGGTGTTGGTACTAGGAGGCACCTTCGCAGGTGTGCGTGGTCCTCAGTCTGCAGTCAGTGACGGGAGCAGGCCTGGTCCTGTACCCCGTTCTTCACCTGCTGCAAGATTCTGCCCACCCGGGGCCTCTTGCCCGCTGGTGCCTGGTTGAGGTGGCCTGATCTCTGCGGGGCGGATTGCACAGTACTGCATCCCCTCAGTTCCCTGGGCGCCCAGGACCAGTCTTCAGTGTTGCCACCGGGTTCCACTTGGCACAGCGGCCCCTCTCTGAAAATCAGAGCAGGTCAGCAGAGTGGGAGCTGGTGAGCTGGTGACGCTGTGGGCAGTGGTGACTCACTGCCATTCAAAAGGACCCAGGGGGACAAAGTCACCTGAGTGGCTGTGTTAAAATGCTCCAATACCTTTTAGACATAGGTTCTTTTAAGAAAAATGATGAATGAGAGCTGGTTTGTTGAGCATATTAAACACGTGAGCAGGGAGATCTGAAGGGCAGGAAGCAGGGAAGCCCAGTGGTGGGAAGCTGGGTAATGGGAGCACTGGCATTGGCGGATCCATCCTAACCAGTTAGTGCTCAGGTCTCCTGGTGGGAGGAGTGTGTGGGCTGAGGGAGGCGAGCCCAGACTCTGAGTGGACATCTGCACCACGGCTGGAGGGCCAGGCAGGGCCCAGCCACTCTGCCCTTCTGTGTGCGCTGCCTCCCAAGGCAGCAGGGCCTGGAGGAGGAGCTGGGCAGTCGCAGGGCAGCCACCTTGTCCACGTGGAGCCGAGGCTGGCACAAGCGACTGCAGTTCCCTAGGTCAGCGCTGTCCTCTTGGGTTTTTTGAAAAACGTTGTCTATGTTCCTTTTTCCCAGTATTCTCTGGGTAATCATTGGATTCTGCCTCAGGGGTTTTTGGAGACAGTCACTGGGAGGCATGAATTGGATCCTGTGTGTCACTGACACCCATCCCGGGTTTGTGTGCACTCATGGCCAGGCACCAAGCTGTGGTTGAGCGGGGGTCTGACCTGATTCTGGTCCTCATGGGCCCGTGACAGAGGTCAGCAGCACTGGAGAGTCAGGCTGTCCTGAGGGAGTCAGAAGGAGGGGTGCCTCAGGGCAGGTGACTTTCACCTCTTTTGAAGATTAGAGAAATGAAAAGGCTTCCCAGGATTCTAGCCAAGTGGGAACTGGACATGGCTGGCCAGGATGAGCTGGGTTCCAGCCTCTGATGTCATTGCCAACGTGAGCCATGTCCTCATAAGAGAGAAACCTGGACAGAGACTCAGGAGAAGGCGCTGTGCGGGTCCAGTGGAGGCTGGGGTGTGTGTCCTGAGAGGTGATCTAGGAGCATAGAAATCCCCTCTGCTGTGCGTTGGGGATCCAGGACAGCCTCTCTGTGCCAGGATCACAGCGTCGGCAGGGCTGCCTCTGGAAGGGGCAGGGAGAATCCACGGTCTGGCCCAGGCAGCTGCGAGCCTCTGCGCTCTCCCCACCCCAGAACTGTGGCGGTGACTTTCTTGCCGTCTCTCATCACTCTGCCTCCCTCTTGCACCACAAAGACCTTGTGATTATGTGGGCCCAGCTGGATCTGTGTCAGCTCACATGCAGGTTGGTTCTCTGTACAGGGGAGCCAGCCCCCCCAACAGCCCTGGAGCACAGGGGAACCAGCATCCCACAGCCCTGGGTCACAGGGGAGCCAGCCCCCCACGGCCCTGGGTCCCAGCCTCCCCACAGACTGGGAGTTGGGGATGTCCTGGGGGCATGCGTTCTATGCTGCAGCGGCTCAGGAGCAGTCCCTAAATAAATCCCTGTCTTCCCCACAAAGTCGGTAGAAATGCAGCCGATGCTCCAGGACCAGCAGTGCTAATGGCCAACAAAATTAAAATCTCCTTGACAGATCCAGACATGAAGTCTTATGCTTTGTACCACTGCATAAATTCACTTTGTCAGCACAGATACGGGCTTGAGCAAGAATATCAATTTAAGGAAACTAAATTAGGACCCATGGCACTGTGAAGTCCTCCAAATGCCTACGCATAGCACCTCGACCAGAGGCGAGTGTAGTCATGTCCCCCTATTTCCTCTTCATTTTTGGTCCAGGACTTTAATTTTTCTACCTCCTGAACACAAGTAGTGTGCTCCTGGAGTCCGGGAAAACACGCAGGCCAGTGTCCATTGAAAGTCAAACACAGCACGGCTTATGAGGGTGATTGTGTAGCAGTTACCCACCCAGCTCCAATGAGGGAGCTGCTGTCCCCATTCCCACTGCAAATTGGAGAAGAGGCGCTGGGGCCTCTTTAAAATGGAAGGTGCTGAGGGAGAAAGGTCTGCGCTGCAGGGCCCACCACGGTGGTGGCCCACCTTCTCCTTGGTTCCCAGCACTGCCGCTGTCCCACCTGGGAGGATCTGTCACCCCCTTTGAGTCCCCTTCTGCATTGAGGAAATGCTTACAGCCCCTGGCCAGTCAGTACCCTGAGTGGGGTGGCCTACAGATGGGGCCCAGGGACCTGCACCTGAGCTGGCCTCCTCCTAAAGCACCTTGTTTCTTGGTAACAGGCACCAAACCTTGGGTTTGTTCTCCAATTCTTATTTTTTTATTTTACAAAGAAAAAAAATATATAATCACCATATACAGCACGTTGATTTATGGTGTGTCCTGGACCAAAAATGAAGAGGAAATAGGGGGACATGACTACACTAGCCTCTGGTTGAGGTGCTATGTGTAGGAAGTTGGAGGACTTCTGGAGCCGCTGGATGGAGCTGATTCACATGTCCTGATTCACAGGCTGATGTTTTGTGAGGTCACAGGTTGGAGCATAACCTCCCTGGGCTGCTCTGCCTGGCAGGCGACTCGCATTATAGAAGCCTATGTCACTTAAGTGATGCCATTACTCCCAAAGGCATCAGCCAGGTGGCTCTGACCTCAGGAAGTCCCCAGACTCTACTGTCCATAGCCTTCTCTTGTCTGTGTGAAAGGGCATCCAAAGTTTCGTCAGCACTGGGCAAGCTTTGTCTATAGTCATAGGCTATAAGCAAGAGAAATCCAACCCTAGAGCTTACGCATAACAGAATCAGCTTAAACAAGGCTGACCCATGGGTGTCAGTTATGGCTAGTTCCAGCAGCCTGCCTCCTGCTGTCAGTACTCAGTCTCTCCTGACTTTGGATATGGTCATATCTATGTTGGCCTCAGTCTATCTTTACCCACAAAGCCACAGGAGCCCCTGACCCCCAGGAACCCCACCCTTCCATTCTGTCTGCATTGAATCCTGTGAAAATTGGGTTTCTCTTTCCCAAAGGTTCCAATAATAGTCTTAGAATTGATCTTTCCTGTTCTAACTGGTAGGATCACAGGCACCTGTCTGTCACTGTGGCCAGGAAGGTGCACTCCTCCAGTTGACAGGGCTGGGTCATATAGCACCTCTCGAGTGTCCAGGACCAGCTCTCAGACCACGTGGGTAGACCGGGGACAGCTCTCGGGATCGTGGGGTGCCTGTCCTCACAAGAGGAGGAGCAGCTTTAAACAAGCCGACGGGTGTCTGCTTCCAGGGCGGCTGCCCACCCTGCCTGGGGACCCTCTGAGTCTCCCCTCAGCCTGAGTCTAGCCTCAGCATCGGTCTCCGGAGCCCTCAGAGCGGGTCCCAACCTAACAGCAGTCTTGCCTGTGTGTCGGCCACCTTCCTGAGCAAGATCACCTAGCACCATGGCCCTGTCCACCCCA